GGATCTTATGGATCCAGAAGAGATGCTCATTTTTCAGTCTGTTCAGCTTTTTGTTGTTAGGTTGGAGTGGTAACTTCAAGCTCCTTACTTGTGGAACAAAAATAATCATTCTTTTTTATTGCTTAGTAACATTCTGTTGTACAGATATACTATACTATAAATTGTTTATCCATTCACCTATAACGTTTGGTTTATTTCCAGGTTTGTTGCTATTATCCATAAATTTCTATAAACATTCATATACAAGTTTTTAAAGATTTATTTATTTATTTGAGGAGGGGAGGGGCAGAGAGAGAGAATCTTTTTTTTTTTTTTAAGATTTTATTTATTTATTTGACAGAGACAACAGTGAGAGAAGGAACACAAGCAGGGGGAGTGGGAGAGGGAGAAGCAGGCTTCCCGCTGATCAGAGAGCCAGATGCCGGGCTTGATCCCAGGACCCTGGGATCATGACGTGAGCCAAAGGCAGACGCTTAACGACTGAGGCACCCAGGCGCCCCAGAGAGAGAGAATCTTCAAGGAGACTCCCCACTGAGCTTGGAGCCCAACTTAGGGCTCAGGGGGCTCGATCTCACACAACCCATGAGATCATGAGCCAAAACCAAAAGTCGGACACTCAACTGACTTGAGCCACCCAGGCACCCCTCATATATAAGGTTTTAGATGAGCATATGCTTTCATTCCTCTTTTAAAAAATATCTGGGAGCAGAAGACTGGATTATATTGTAGATGTATTTTTACAATTTTAAGCATCTGCCAATCCTATTGCAGCTGTAACAATTTACCACAAACTGAGTGTCTTACCACAACATAGATTTATCTATTGCATATCTAGAGGTCAAAAGTCTAAAATTAAGTTGTCCAAAGGGCTGTGTTCCATCTGGAGGCTCTAGAGGAGAATCCACTGCTTTCCTTTTTTTTTTTAGCTTCTAGGCTTCCTGCATTCTGGCTCCTGCCCTCTTGCTCAAGACACTCTGACCTCTTCTTTAATCTTATCTTATGCTATTGACTCTGATCCTCCTGCCTTCCTCTTATAAGGATCCTATGATTACAGTGATCCCACCTGAATAATCCAGAGGACTCTCCTGAATCTCTACAGTCTTGCAATTAATACCATCTGCAAAGTCCCTTTTACCTTATAAAGTAATATATTCACAGGGTCCACAGGTTCCAGGGGTTAGAATGTGAACATCTTTGAAGGGCCATTATTCAACTTACCACATTGTCGTCCAAGGAAATTATACCATTTTATGTTCCCATCAGTACTGTAGAATAGTTCTACTTCCTCCACATCCTAACACTTGTCATTTTAACTTGTTTTTCTCAAATAATGTACAGTGTTAGATATGTTTTCATGTACTTTTTTGCTTTTTATATTTTTAGGTGAAGTGTCAGTTCAACTATTTTCCCCATTTATTTATTGGGCTTTGTACCTTTTGATTTTTGGATTTTGAGCATTCTTTGTATATTCTACATATAAGCCTATAATCAAATATGATTTGCAATTTGTTATTAAATATTTCTGGCTTGTCTTTTTTTCTTGAAATATATTTTAGACATATCTTAATGATCTTAAATCAGTATTAAATAATGCATTTTACAGTGTTCAAAGTCATCAAGTTGTATATATTAAACATGTATAACTTTTTGTATGTCAATCATATCTCAAATAAAGTGGTTTAAAAATAAAAATAATATAGCAACAAAAGTATAAAAATATTAGGGTTATATTTCACAAAAAGTGAGCAATATTTGTGTACTGAAATCTGTAAAACATTACTGAGATGAACTCATCAACATAGAGATATACAGGGTTTATAGGTCAGAAGAATCAATGTTGCTTTGATGTCTATTTTCCCCAAATTCATCTAAAGATTCAATGCAATCCCCATCAAAATCCTCACAGGCTTTTATATAGAAATTTCAGGGTAATTATGATTTTTAGAGATTTTATTTATTTTATTTATTTATTTATTTGAGAGGGGAGAGTGAAAGAGTACAAGTGGGGGGCAGGGCAAAGGATGAGGGAGAAGCAGGGAGCCCAACATGGGGCTTGATCCCAGGACCCCAAGATTATGACCTTAGCCAAGGCAGACTTTTAACTGTTTAACTGACTGAGCCACCCAGGCACCCTGAGGTAATTACAAAATTTAAATATAAAAGGCAAAACACCTAAAATAACAACACACACACACACACACAAATTAAAAGAGGAGCAAATTGAAGGACTAACATTATCTGATTTCAACACTTAAAAATTCCGGTAATCTGGGTGGCTCAGTCCATTGAGCGTCTGCCTTGGGATCAGGTCATGATCTCAGACCCAGCATCAGGCTCCCTGCTCAGCGGGGAGCCTGCTTCTCCCTCTCCCTCTGCTGCTCCCCTGCTTGTCCAGGAGCTCTCTCTCTCTCTCAGATAGATAAATAAATAAAATTAAAAAAAATAATAATAAAGTACAGTAACCAAGACAGTGTGCTATTGGTATAAAGATGGACAAATAGATGAATGTAGTAAACTAGAGAGCCTAAAAATAGACCCACACATATGTAGACAAACTGATTTTTGACTAAAGCACAAAGTGGAGAAAGAACAGACTTTTCAATAAATGGAGCTTGGACAACTGAATATTCATAAGCGAAACAAAGAACTTCAATTCATATCTCACACCATATACAAAACTTGAATTAAGTTGGATCATAGACCTCAATGTAACAACTAAGACTATAAAACTTTGAAAAGAAAACATATACATTTTTTAATTTTTATTGTTATGTTAATCACCATACATTACATCATTAGTTTTTGATGTAGTGTTCCATGATTCATTGTTTGCGTATAACACCCAGTGCCCCATGCAGAATGTGCCCTCTTTAACACCCATCACCAGGCTAACCAAAACATAAGAGGGAAATTTTCTTGACCATCAGATAGGCAAAGATTTTTAGATATGGGACCAAAAGCCCAAGGTACTAAAGAAAAAAATAAAAAAAAATCATAAATCAAAATAATCAAAATTAAAAATTTTTGCTTTTTAAATTTTTACTTAATCTTGTCATTGTTTGAAATGGTTTTATCAAATAATATTTATGTAAAATATATTTTAAACATACCTTAATGATATTAAATCAGTATTAAATAATGCATTTTACTATAGACCCTTCAGGTAACTTATCATTAAATAATAGAAACTAGAGCAATGATGAAAAAAAAAAGATCCCATGCATATGTGGAGCTCCAGTTATTTACCAAAAACTCTTATAGGTAGCATCTCCACCTATTCCTTCCCCAAAATATTGGTCCTTATACTTTTAAAATTATAGATAATGTTATAATTGCATTAAAAATGATCACCAATATATCATACAGGTGTTGAAATATATTTTTAAAATAAAAAAGAGATGAGAATGACTCTTCCTTCAATAAATGTTAAAGCTTTTACAGCAAAGAGCAGATACTCACAAATGACACTCTTCTAACTCTTAGGAACAGTGTGCGTGTCTGGAGAATACCATCCATCATGCCCCATTACATAAAAAGACAAGACATTGTTTTGGTAAATGTTCCTATTACTTAGAATCCAATCAATTTAAGTTTCTGTAAAGTCAGTGCTTTGTAATGTAAAATCATTTTATGTATCAGATAATTTCTATACTCAAAGTATAGCATTACCTGACGTTGTTTTTTAATACAGTTTACATGTATCATGTTGAATGCTGTCGAGAGCTCCACTGTCATTTAATACACTCAAGGGAAATACTGCTTTCCCATTAATCTTATTTGTAAAGCATGTTTGCATTAATCTTTAAATCTTCTTAATGAAACAAAACCAAAAAGAGTAAGCAGATTGCTTACAGATTGTTGTGGATGAAAGCATAAATGTCAGTGTCAATTCTGGAGTACTTAGAATCCATTGCCATGTTAGAGAAGAGGAATTCAATCCTTTCGGCCCCCAAACCACTTTTTTATAACAAGTATTTTATCAGATTCTGAAATAAAAACCATGCCTAAAAGAAAACAAACAAAGACAATCTACAGGGAAGATTTTAAAATAAAAATAATATTGTTAGGATTAGCAATAATATAAATGAAGAATAAAATAATTGTGATTTCAAAATATGTATTTCCATACATAAATGTTGGGGCATAACTATATAGAAAAGGGGATGGTACTCAGATTTTTGAATCAACTTACAGTGTGTTCATTCGTTCAATTCAAATGTTTATTGATCATCTGTGTGCAAGAGTCTGTTGAAGACATTTATTACAGTAACAAAACAGCAGGGAGACAAATATATCCCCATAAATAAATAAAGCACTTGTAGTATATTCGTACATATGGAATATGAGGGGAGGTTTCAAGAAAGACCTGAAGGAGGCAGGAAACAGAAACACACTAGCAAAATAAAACCAAATAAAATCACATGTCTCTGCCTCCCACCCCTCCACTCTCTCCCTCTCCCCAGTCTAAAAAATAAATAAATACATAAAAAACATTTAAACATCCTTGCACTGCACAACAGATACATGTTTTCTATAGTTTATTTAAGTCACTATTTTGTTTTCAGTGTTTTCATTTATGTTGTTACACTGAAAAAATTGACATGCAAAATTAACTACATCTCCACTTTATGTACGTTATAATTCTTGAACACTGTTATGACAAAAGAAAAAATAAATGAAAGCATAATATGTCCCTTCCTTAGAATTTGTTTGAAAGAAGTTATTTACCATTATCTTTTCATAAACATAGACATGTTACTAGACAAGTAATGTCTCCCAAAACTACTCATTATTTTATATAAAAGAGGGAAAGTAAATATTTTGGTTGCTATTAGTTAATCTTTATCACTTTAAGTTTAAAGTGACAGATAACATTCAAAATTTGTCCACTGACTTTTTTTGTTTGTTTGTTTGTTTGAAGCTTTTGGAAACATGTCCAACACTTTGATGAGATGTTGGAAACCAGTTGAAACGCAGTAAAATTCAACCCAGTAAAATAAGACTGCTTTCTTTTCATCCGCGTTGGAAATTTTCAAGAAGTGAACTATGACAATATATCAACTTTTGGTACTGTTTCCACTCTGGGTCTGCCTGCCACATTTCTGTTCTCCAGAGATAATGTTCAGAAGGACTCCCACACCCCAGAAAAGAATTTTAGGTGCACGTGTACCTAGGAGTGATGGCAAAATTCTGCATCGTCAAAAACGTGGTTGGATGTGGAATCAGTTTTTCTTACTGGAAGAATATACAGGATCTGATTATCAATATGTGGGCAAGGTGAGTCTACACTGAAATGGCAAAAACTTATCTTCTTTCCTTGTATGTTTTAAGAATATTTGATGGTTTTTAAGATCATCGTTCTAAGAAATTTGATTCTCTAAATATCCCTAAATCAATTATTGTTTATGGAATATATATTATAATTTGAAAAACTGTGGAATACATAAATCCAGCATGATAAAGGTAGAAATTGAATTTGCGAGAATTAATTCTGTCCATTTCCTTATGGACTAAAGAAGTACTAGAAATTGCACTGTTAGAATTTGTAGTTAGAAATCAATGATAGTGAGAAAACTGTATGTCAAGATACCCATTTAAAATGACTACATATATATATTTCACATTGCTCTTGATTTCAGTAAGGAAGGAAAGACAGTTAAAAGTTGTTTAATATTCTATAGAATGAAAAATCAAATGTCATTAAAAGTATGACCTAAGGCCCCCCCAAATAGCTTTTTTTTTTAAGAAAATTTATTCCAGATATGAGTGTTATTTATTTTTCTTAAGTGTTACTATGGGCACATTTATATAAAGGAAAAATAAATAGAAGACAAGCAGGTAGAAGTAGTTTACTTATTTGCGATATGTGCACATAGACAAGTTTTCATCCTATTTTATTATAAAAGTTAGTGAGGAAAGTTAGTTGTGGTTGGGAGTAGAATGAAAAGTAACAATGAATGCTTCTATATACTACACTGTATTCATTTTCAGTTTTCTTTTTTGGCACTATCTGAATGTGCTAGAAGTTAGATAATGTCTTAAGAAAGAATTCATGTTCATAGTCATGGTTACTTTTATGGACAATATGAAAATATATCAAAGAAAACAGAAATACACTAGCAAAAATAACCAAATATAATCACATGTTAATACATGATTTGTTAACACTGTAAAATTATGATACATTACCGTGATGGAGAATTTTGTATTAACCTAAACTTTAATAGCTTTGTTCAAATGATTAAAATTGTGCTAAAAGTTTTCATCCTCTAAGAAAACTATTTTTAAACTATTTTTAAAACAATTTTTTGAAAGTATTTTTTCATTGATTTTAAAACACTTGGATATGTTTTTTCATGTTCCAATTATTTCAGTCCTTTTTTAAATGTCTGGCAGTAGGACAAAGATGACATTAAAGGTTAAATGTTATGTTGAGGGAGAAGGAAAAGCAACAGCAATCTGAGCAATCTTATGAGAAAGCACATCATAGCCAGACTTATCACGGGTCTCATCTGACTGGATGCCTAAGATCAGAGGGTTAAGGTAAATTTTATGGTTGTTGTGATAGGCAACTTTTAGTTTATGAATGCAATCATGTGCAAATGTAATAACAAAAATCTAGACCAAAGAAACTATAAAGTAAATAGTTTCCTTTGGTTCTTCCTGAACATAGCACTTATTTGACTTATTTGCATGTGTTTTCTATCATCTAGTGCATTTTAATGATTTAATGTGTCGATAAATTACCATTACATTATATACTCTCACATGATAGTCAAGTGACTTCTTACGTATTTTCATTTGTTCTCTCCCAGAAGAATGTCAACACCTTGAGATCAAAGACCTTTACTTCATACTTCACTTTGTCTCCAGCTCTTTGAGTAGAGCTTAATATTTAGTTGGTTGAATTGACCTGCATTGCACTGAGTTGAATTCCCAGAATCATCTGGTACTACATGGCTCTTTGGTGGGGAAAACTAGTCTAGAATTTAAATCCCTATGGGCAATTAAAGCTGATAAATACTTGAGATATATGCATCTCGATATATAACCCAAATTTTATTCTTCCTTACTCTGCTTGATAAAAGCAAATTAAAAACCTTATTTAGATGTAAACATGCAGATCTGTGTATGTCAAAAAGGCAATGTGCAATATTTTAATAAACATACATTAAGATGAATATAAAAATTTCAAATCCCCTAAATATTCTTTCCAATAGTACTTACAATAAATTTATTATATAGTCATCCTTTCTTTCAGAAATTTCACTTCCAGTTTTACTACCTTTAAAGTAGGAATGTAATACTGATGCTATGTGATTTAATGTTTCTAGGTTAGTTTTGATGTAGTAGTAATACATGTTCTAATTACTTGACATATGGGAAGATGATAGATATCCCATTGTAGTGGGAAATATTTGGGGAACTCAGAATAAGAACAGAGAAGAGAGAATCATACTGATGGAGTGAGGACAACACTGAAAGCACATGTGTGAAGAGGGAGAACTTTTTTTTTTTATACTAAACTATTTGGGGCCCCTGGGTGGCTCAGTCAGTTAAATGTCTGCCTTTGGCTCAGGCTGAGGTCATGATCTCAGGGTCCTGGGATCTAGCCCCACATCAGGCTCCCTGCAGGGAGCCTGCTTCTCCCTCTCCCCCCCCCCCCCCCACCCTGCTTGCACGTGCACTCTTTCTCTCTGTCAAATAAATAAGTAATCTTTAAAAAAAAATTAAATACTAAACAATTTGCCAACCAAATTCAATAAAGAATGGATGGCATATGATTTCTCAGATAAAAGCCCGTTACTACTTAAGGGGTTAAAACAGGGGGATATAACAATTGCTTCTCATTGGGTAAAAGCAGAGGGAAGCTTAGGAAAACATATAACCAACAATCAGAGGAGCTAGGATGTAACCTTGTTTCTACCACTGTTTGTCTCAGAGTTATTCAGAAACCAAGCCAACCAAAAATGAACTCAAAGCATTTCTTTGTTCAGCTCTCAATGATCAAAATTTTCCTCTACATCATTCAATCAAATACATTCTAAACCGAAATATATTTGTTGTAAGTTCTTTTTTTTTATTTCCTTCTCAGTGAGATAATCACAAAATTGACTTTACCTTCCATAGCAAGGGGTTTAAAACTTGAACTTCAAGTAATCTACTTCTGTACTATGTTGTTTTCATTTTACAACCTTCTATAGTTGTATTACGGTTTTCCAATTTAAGATTTGAGAAACATTGTGATTATAAACTATTTTTATTAGTTTAAGCACAGCTTTTAATCACAGTTTCTTACTGCCTAATTCAGTTGCCCTGGACAAATAATTTTGAATCTCTAGGTTTCAAATATTCAAATAAAATAAATAATGACATTAAACTAGATACTCTTGAATTTACTTTAAGCTGTAACAGCAAGACAGTTCTAAGAGAAATACTAATTTTATTTACTGAAAAAAAAATTGTCTGCATTTTATGTAATTATTCCCAAGTGGAGAAGAGTATGTTAAAATTAGATTTTTAATCAAAACCAGATACTGAGAAAAGTCCCCAAACACCAAAAATTTAATAACGTACCTGGGTAACAATAAACCTGATTCTGAGTCAGCATAGTAAGACAATTCACTCCAGGAAGTGAAAACTTAAAAATAATTAGGGTAACTCTCTATATTTCTTGATATAATGAAAACAACCAGATGGTGGCAGGTGAGGGGGGTGCTACTGGCCTCCAGTTGGCAGAATCCAAGGATACTGCTAAAAATCCTACAGTGCGCAGGACAGACTTCTGTAGAATTTATGGTTCCTAAGTGTAAACAGTTCCAAGACAGAGAAATCCTGTCCTAGTTTGCCAGTCCCGTTTACATTTTCCCAAACAGCTCAATTTTTACTTTAGTTCTTTCTGGGTTCCTGCTTCTGAACCTGCTCTCAATTATAATTTTATTTCTTCATTCCAGAGTTGCCATGAGTATTCGCTTTTTGAAACTTAGATTTCTTTCAAGGTCTCCTCTCCTTCATGTCCTCTCTAATCCTTAAGGCATACATTTGGTTCCAGCCTCTTGATCATCATTCTCTGTAGACTTGTGGGCTCCACAAACCTACTAGGAATGAAGTATACATTCATTTTTTTCAGTAAATATCTAGAAGGTGTACTACTCAGATACTACTCTCTGCTATTAAGTATATGGTGGCAAAAATATAATTTCTCTGCTCACAAATTATCTGCCTTTAATAGAAGGGAAAATAATAAAGCTAACAGCAAGTTATGGGCTCTTTTAATCTCTGATAGAGCACAGAACCCAAAAGCCAAGAACAGAAAAATAAATGCCAAATATCCCTATGTTCTATCTCTGCAGTACTTGTAAGTAAAGTGGAAATAAAACAGTTTTGGGATTTACATGACATAAATCAATGTTATTAAAAATTGAGATTGGAGAGTCGAGGTATGTACTTCTATTTTTTATTTATCTGTTTATTTCTTTGGAGGTCTTTTAATGTACAAGGCCTCATAAAAGGTGCTCACTGCAGATTTCTGGAAGAGAGATCTTCCAAAAACTGAAAAAAAATGTGATCCATGAAAGAATAACTCAACTTTAAACAGAATACCAGAAATGCCAAGTGTGCCCACCATATTAGACCATGTTCCTTATTGCCATATGGTTACAATCAAGTCAAACCTGGTTACAATGGAGATAGAGTAGTTGGAACTAGATAGAGACAGGAAGCTGCCCCAGCTTCCCCACTGCAGTCTTCCTGGGGTGAACAGATCTGAATCGAGTATGTGGAGAAACTTACACTACATAAGAGTTCAGGGAATTGCAAACATTTTAATGGACATTGAATGTTCTCTTCAGATAGTTGGATATTTTAATAACTGTAATGATATTGTTCTTGAAACTAAAAATTCCAGGTGACTATATATATATTTTTTTTTAAATCCAAACAGGACCAAAAAGACCTACATTAAAAAACAAAAACAACAACAGAAAATTGTTTAGCTGTTCAATATATAGAGACCTGATTTTAGTGGTGGTATACAATTATTTTCTATTTGGACCTTATTAATTGAAGCCCTGGAAGAAAATAAATCAGGATGATTTGATAGACATTGGCAGAGAATCCTTTAGATTAGATGGTTATAGACCTTCCTGATGAAGGGACTCTTGGACTTTTGGATGAACAGAGACATTATTTCCCTGATACATAAAGACCACAAAATAAAGTGAATATGCATTAGAGTTTTTAAGACCTTTTTACACTAATCCTCAAGCAAGAGGTAA